CTTGACGCCACCATGTCAGCCGCCTCCTCAGCGGTGTGCTCTCTACGGTGGGGACGCGGGCCGTCTTCCTGATCTCGTGGTTAGTCTTCTTGTGTAGATGAGCTGGTGAGTGGAGTGGCCCTCGAACCGTCCGAACTTGACAAGCTTCCAGCCGCGCCAGCTCCCGCTTTTGAAAGGTTTGCCACCTCCAGGCAGCACAGGCCGACTGAGCGCACCAGGGACCTCCACAGTCTGATCTTCAGCTCGGGGCTGAACCCTCCTCTACAAGCACGTCGTGGTGATCGAGCACGGGCCGCGCTCGCTGCCTGGATCCTGCGAGCCGCCTCAACCTGGGAGCTGCCAGCGGCAGCCAGCTGGACGCCCAGGTGCTTGACCGTCGGCCGGGGGTGGATGGGGAAGCAGTCGTCGCCGCGCCACGTGACAATTACCCGCCCGCGCGTGCCCCAATGCGTTTCCGCCTCTTCTTGCTGCCCACCCCCGACGGCATCAAGAAGCTCGGTCTTCTCCCCGCCCACCTGCGCGCCGCCGCGATCGATCTCGCCGGCGACGGCTTCCAAGCAGACGAAGGCGTCGTCAAACTCGTCGAATTCCGCAAACGCAAGCAGGTCAACCAGGAATTTCAAGTGGGTTACGTCCACACACTCGCAGGTGCCCTCCACCAATCCGCCATTGTTCCTGAGGCGCTTGAGCGCGGGGCCAAAGTACACCTTGATACACGAGCGCTCCATCTCTGATTGTACTTTCGCCAGCTGCGCCACTAACCTGTCGTGCGCCACCACGAAGAGTACTGGACTCTCAACTCCTCCTTGGCGAACTCCACGTCGCGCCCATATCCGGTCTGTCGGCTGGCGCGTCTTCGAGTCTCTGAACAGGTAGCACATGCCGTCGTGGAGCTCCTTGACGGTCATCCAAGCGCCCCAGCGTATGAAAGTCGCCCAGGCCTGTCCATATGTCTTGGCGGTTTCACCACGTCGAACGCCTTCTCGAGATCGGTAAGCACTGCCAATAACATGTGTGGTGGCGAGGAGGATCGGCCACGGAGCTTTGCTCGGCGCGCTCGTTGACGTCGAGCGATGACCTCAGAAGCCACCACGACCGCATCGCACGCGCCCCGTCCCGGCATGGCTCCAAACTGCGTCGGAGAGACCCTGTGCGCCATATCTGCGAGTGCGCCCAGCGCGGTGACCCTCGCGCAGGCCTTGCCCACATGGCCGATCAAGCTGATGGCCCTGTAGTCGTGCTTCGCGGCCCTTGGGCTTGCGCGGAAGGGCCGACTCGCCGCCCAAAAAAAATGTCGAGGTGCGGCGCCTAGGGCCTGGGCCGAGTTGAAGACATGAAGCAGTGGGGCCGCAAGCTGGTCGATCGCGATCTTCCATGTTCCAGCCACCGCATCAACTGGAGGGCCCAACGGTGACCGCCGCAAGGTCGGGCCGCCCATCGTGTTCGGCAAGTCCACAGTGCTCTGCTTCACGTCACGTATGTCGTAGGGGCCCATCCTGCGCGAGCCCGCGCCCCTGCCGGCTCCTCCTGCGCGAGGTGGGCCATCATCGAGTTGCATGTCTTGGCCGTCGCACAGCTCACCAATACTCTGGAAACGCACTTGCCTGTCGCGTTCCATGTCGAAGCACGGCAACCCTGTGGCTGGATCCTTCACTGTCATCATCGGGGCGGGCGGCTTGGGCGCTAGTTTCCGAACGATGGCGTGGAGCTTCCTCAAGTAATTCTGGCTAGCGGCGCATTCAGCAAGTTCGGCAAGTGCTGCTGTGCGCAGCTAACTGCAGTTGCCAGTACTGCTTGGTCGCGATGAGCTGCACCGTGGCGTCGTCGAAGACTGGGGCCGCGCTGCCGCTGCGGGGTGGTGGTTCGATGTAGTCTTGAAGCGCCGCATTCACCACCACTCCACCCAGTTCGTTGAAGAATGATGAGGGTGTAACGTACAGTTTGCCGTGGCCACATATGTCGATCAACTCCTCCTGGAGCATCTTCTCTTCAATTCCTTCCTGCACCTTCCCCTGGAACTCCAGCACTCTGTTTTGGGGGGGGACTCGCTGCGTTCTCGAGGTCCCCCTGTGCCTGCTGAATCCTCTTGAGGTCCATCAAAAGGAGCTCACGTCTCCAGCAGCACCTTCCTTCCCGTCGTGGTCGTGGTCGTGGTCGTACGCCAGCAAAGAGCATCGTCTCCAGCGGCCCGCGGCCCCTGTAGCCGCCCAGGTTGATTGGCAGATCAAGTCGAGGTCGAGAAGCATGGCCGTAGCCGCCGTGTCGGCGGACAATGCCGCAGTCTACGGCGGTCTGCGTGCCGAACGGGCTGCGCCAAGTGCCGTTGAAGCGCCTCGTGCCCATCAGGTCCATCAATGATCGGCCACTGCCGTTGATCACTGGCGCCCCGCAACGGGCACCAGCGTGCCCGGCCCAAGGTAGATGAGGAGGCAGATGGGCGTTCGCATCCAGGGTAGTCACTAGTGCCGTTCGCGCAGGTACTTGGCGAACTGCTTGTCGACATATCTGCCGAAACGTGTCCCGAAGTTTCAGATGAGCTTCCTGGTATGAACTGGGATCTGCTCCGCGTGGCGAGCGCCCTGGGTCGTTGGTGGGAGCGTACCCGCGCATGCTGTAAATGTCTTTCTCGTGGCGGGCACTGTGCACGCTGCGAAATCTAATGCCGCGCAGTCGATCTGGCACCCACGCGCGCTCGCAGCGAACCTCGTCAGGTTTGAAGTGCCGGAAGCTGATGGCGATGAGGCATCCGTCGCGCTGACCATTGCCTGAGCGTGCCAGCGAGTGCACCTCACACTGCCCAGCCTTCCACGTCATGCCTAGGTCCATCTGCGTGCCTTGCAGAGTGAAGATCGCAACGTTCTCGAACATGGCCAGCTCAAGGAGCTCGTCCAGTCGCCCCACTCGCCGCGAGGATTCCGCGCGGAAGCCCCATATCTTCATAGCCCTGGCCTTGACACAAGTTGGCGCCAGTGCACTCGCACTCTCTCGTGCTTCAGCTGGTGGCGGAGGCAGCTGGGCTACAGTGTTCACCTTCTCGATGGGTACCAGCCGCGCGGCTGTGGCACGCGCGTAGCGTCTGCCATGGCGCCATGCCGCCCCTGCCCCAAACGCGAGCCTCACCGCTCGCCTCAGGGCTCGGTTGCCACGCATCGCCCTTGCGCCCTTCTCCCAGCGGCGCCAGTGCAAACGACTCCAGCGCAGCTGTCCTCGCGGGCCGGGCTGCCCGCGAACGCTCACCCCGCAGCGGCCCAGGGATTACCCCCCCCCCGCCGAGAAGCGCCAGCATCCGCCATCGCGCGGCCGACGGGGCGAAGAGAAACTGGCCGGGACTTGCGACCTGGCACGACCGACCGCTGTGTCGGCGGGCGTCTGGAACCGTCTAGGCCTGGACTTTTGCTTCCTCTTTTCAACGCGACTCCCATCGCATCGGAAGTTTAGCGGGGGCCCCAGCGCAATCGCGAGAACAACGCGGCGCGTTTCCAATCCGAAACGAGGCCCTGAAACGGACAGCGGGCGCGGAGCGGCAGGCCGACTGGCCTCAGCCCCGCCCCCGCGCACCCCCACCCCTGCGGAGGTGGCACTTGCGGGGGCGCCCCCCCCCCCCCCCCCTCCGCGTTCTTAGCGCGGCCCCCCATGCAAAGCATTTTCCGGGCTGCGTCTGCGAGGTGGGGAGAGGGAGAGGGAGGCCGAAAGGAGAGGTGGAGGAGGAAGAGAAAAGGTTCTCGGCGGCAGCGGCAAAGCCTTCCAACTCACGAGTAGATGCTGGCGTTGGTGCTGGTGAAGGTGGCGGCGTCCGCGCTGTCGTCGGCGCTGGCGTAGGCGCCCTCGGCCCTACTTATTCTTCTTCGGCTTCTTGCTCTTGTTCGCCTGCGCCCCCTTGCCGCCCTTGAACGCCAGCGACCCCGCCCCTTTGGCCACCTTCGACCCCGTCGCGACGTCGCACTGGAGGCCCACGCCCACTGCGGCCAGCGCGTCGTTGAGCCTGAGCAACTTCAGCGCCTCCTTCAGATTCGGGCAGCGGTTCACCGCAAAGATCCACTTGAGCTCGCCCCCCACGGAGCCCCCCCCTCGTTCTTGCTCTTCGCCTCGAAGCACCTCGTCGCCACGAGCTTTGCTGCTGGTCCTGCACCGTCGCCCCGTAGCGCAGGAGCTCGTCCAGCGCGGCCTTGGCCCCCATCGGCTCGATGCCCTGCGAGGCGGCCGCCAGCACCGCCTCCTTCTTGCCCTCCGCGGCCTCCGCCACGCGGAACAGGACTGCCCGCGCCAGCGCGTCGGGGCGCTTAACCGAGCGGGTTGCCCAGGAAGTCCCCCTTCTTCCCCTTCGCCTTCTCCTTGGCCTTGGCGCCCTCGTCCTCGCAGTGCGCCAGAGCCTGGTCGAGCGCGATCGCTCTGCGACGGCTTGAGCGGAATCGCAAAATAGTCGTCGCGGCGCGCCGTCCTCGCCACGTCCTCGCGCTGCAGGACCAAGCGGGCGAGCGCCTTGCCCAGGGGGCCCACCGCGTCGGGCTGGTCGCCCTCGCCCTCGCCCCCGACCCCTGCCTCGACCGCCGTCCTCTTGTTGTCGCCGCTGCCCGCCGACGCCTGCGCCTCGCTGATCGGCCGGAACATCGCCGGCAGCAGCTGGAGCGGGCTCGGCAGAGGGGGCCGCGGGCGCTGGAAGTTCTGAAGGTCTGGCTTGAGCCTCAACTTCACTGGGACGGGCCGTGCAGCGTTTCTGTTTAATTTGCCTCACCAGCGTGTCTTTTTCTCGTGAAGATCTTCTGGCAGTGGGGACGTCGCTTCTGTTCCAGGTCCGTGTCCGCGAGGGCTTCGGCTGCTGGGTTCGTATAGACTTTATGAGCTGCATGTTTACGATTGGCTAAACCCTTTTCCCCATTGCATTTTTGCCCACACACACATCGCTCTCCAGCCACGCGATGGCTGCAGCATCAGTCGCAGTGTCTTCCTCGCCGCCATCAGTCAGCACACGGCGAAAGCAGCGCGGCCCAAGGGAGGCGAGCCAGCGCAGCCACGGCTCGGCCAGCTCAGGAAGGTCGCCGTGGAGCTGAAAGAGCCGACGAGCAGTGAGCTTCTCCTGCGCGTCCGCAGTCTGCCACATCTGCCGCATGTCGTCCAGCAGCAGAGTCAGCGTGCCCGACTGCCCCCCATGGCCGGCCTGCTCGAACGAGAATCGACCGAAGATGACCGCCCTCAGGTCGTGCAAATCGTCGCCGGGCTCCCTGAAGGCCGGTCGCAACACTTGTCGCCACCACCTCAACCTTCTCAATAACAACGCGCTCGTAACAGTCGGAGTGCGGGCCCGCTTCCTGATCTCACGGTTGGTCTTCTTATACAGGTGGGCTGGCGAATTCAACGACCCACGAAGCTTCTTCACCTGCCAGCTCTCCAACTTATTCAGCTCCCGCCTGGCGAGGTGTGCGACCTCCAGGCAGCACAAGCGCACCGAGCGGACAAGCGTCTTCCAATCTGACCTTCAACTTGGCACTGAACCCACTCTTGAACGCACGGCGCAGCAGTTGAGCGTGAGTAGAGTTGGCTGCCCTGATGCGGTTCGCAACCTCCACGTGGCGGGCGCCCGTCGCCGCCAGCTGCACCCCTAAGTACTTGACCGTCGGCTGCGGGCGCAACGGAAAATAGTCATCATCTTCCCACGTCACTATGCCATTAGTTTGCGCGCGAATATGCTTCCACCTTTTCTCGCTGCCAACCCCCGACTGCGCGAGCAAAATCTCGGTCTTCCTTCCGTTAACGCTCACGCGGCCAGCCTTGGTCTCGCCCGTCAGTACCTCCAGGATGGTGGATGCAGCGTCGCACTCCTCGATATCAGCGAACGTGAGCAGATCATCGAAGAACTTCAACTGGGATACGTCCAAGGCCCCGCACTCGTCCTCTTTCAAGCTGTCGTTGCACCTGATATTCTTGAGCGCGGGGTCGAAGTACACCTTGATGGCTGGATACTCCTGCTGTTGTAGCTGGTCCATTATCCGATAAACTATCCCATCATAGACCGCCACAAAAAGGCCTGGACTCTCAACACCTCCTTGTCGCACACCTTGCTTGACCCCAATCCGATCAACAGGCACATGAGTGGTAACATCGCGGAACAGGTAGCACATGCCCTCATGGAGCTCCTCCAAGTTCGCACAAGCATCCCACCGCACTTCGAGCGCCTCCAAGCTTTGCCAAATGTCCTGCCGTACCACCGCGTCGAAAGCCTTCTCGATGTCTGCGAGGACTGCCAGCAGCATAGGAGGTGGAGTTGAAGTGCTCCTCGTCGCTTGGCTCGATGCGCTCTCTGATGTCAAACGATCACTTCACCTGCCACTGCCACCGCGTCCCGTGTACCCCGCCCAGGCATAGCTGCGAACTGCGTTGGTGAAAGATTGTGCGCCACCTCACTCATCGCGTCAAGAGTGGTGACCTTGGCGTAAGCCTTGCCGACGTGGTTGATCAAGTTGATGGCGCGGTAGTCCTTCGACGCCGCGCAGCCGTCGCCCTTCGGTTTCCTCAGCTGCATATGGTCTCGCCGCCCTCGAACCTCTGAGGCGCGTCGCCCAGCGCCTGCGCCGCGTTGAAGACCTGCAAGAGAGGCGGCGCGAGCGCATCTATCGCTAGCTCCCAAGACTCAGCAACAGCGCCCCCAGGCGGCCCCGTCATAGGCCACTGCAGCGCAGGCCCCCCCTTCATGTCGGGCAAATCCATGGTGCTCGCCTTCGCCTCCGCAAGGTCATAGCTGCAATCCCGTCATCGTCGCGCTTCCTGCCGGCCTGGGCGGGGGCCGCTCGTCGAGACCCATCGCCCGGTCGTCGCGCACGTCGCACATGCTCTGAATACGCACTCGCCGGTGCTCCTCAGCATCGAAGCACGGCAGCCCAGTGTTCGGGCCCTTCGCCGCCATGATTGGCGCCGCTGGCTTCGGGGCCAACTTATTCGCGATGGCGTGGGGCCTCCGCTAGTTCCCCTGACCTGCCGCTCGTTCCGCCACGTCAGCCAACGCCGCCGTCCGCTGCCGCTCCTCACTCCTGATCGCCGCCGTCGCCAGCTTCGCCGCCCCGTTTGAAATGCACCTGAAACTGCGCCCGCAGCCACCGAGCACCATCAGGAATGGCAGCAAGCTGATATCGCCAGTAGTGCTTTGCCTGAATCAGCCGTACCGTCTGGTCGCTAAACACTGGTCCGTCCACTCGTCCCGTCGTTGGTGGCGAGATGTAGTCCTGCAGCGCCGCCTCGATCACCACGCCCTCCAACTCGTTGAAGTACTCAGCGGGGGGCCCGCAGCGCCGGCCGTTGCCACAGGTGTCTGACCATCTCGAGCGCGAAAGATACCCGTACCCTTACCCAGACGGGGTGGCAAGGGGCCCTCGGGGCATCACCCCCCCTGGGTCCGGGTCGGCCCCCGAAACCACCATACATACCCGTACCTAGACGGGGTGACCCAACCACCACCCCAGCTAGGTCCGGGTATGTATGGTTGTTTCGGGCACCGACCCGTACCCAGACGAGGTGGCGGCAAAGCCGAAAACGCTCTAGCGGGCGGCCCTTTTCACCCCAGCTGACCCCGGGTCCGGGTATGTTTTGGGCTAGTGAGACCAGTCCTCCCGGAGCCCCTTCGCCTCGATCCCTTCCTGCACCTTCGCCCGAAAGTTGCGCAAGCGGTTGGGAAGCCTCACCTGGTTGTCGAAGTCCGCCTCCGCCTGCTGCACCTTCAGCAAGTCCGCGACCATGAGCTCTCGACGCCATCTGTATCTGCCTGCATCCTTCACGGTCTTTGCCTTCACGCCTGCGATGATGCGAGACCCCAATGGCCCGTGGCCCCTGTAGCCGCCCAAGTTGACAGGAAGGTCGGCGCGAGGGTGAGCTGAGTGTCCGTATCCGCCCTGCCTGCGCACCAACACATAGTCGATCGTCGTCCATGAACCCTGCGGGATCCTCCACGTGCCGTTGAATCGTCCTCGCTGGCCGAACGTGTTAAGTACCATCAGCCCGTAGTCCTCCATCAAGTCCATCATCGCGTGGCCGTTGCCGTTGGTCGAAGGTCCTGATCGACGCACGCCAGCAAAGCCCACCCAAGGCAGCAGCGGTGGGATGTGCGCGTTGGCGTCCAGTGTGATGATGATCGACGTACGAGCAGGAACCTGACCAACTGCGCGACGACATATCTGCCAGAACAAATCTCTTGTCTCCAAATGCCTCTCGCGATACTCCTTTGCTTCAACTCCTTTGGGCACGTGACCAGCCTCGTTCGTGGGAGTGTAGCCGTTCAACACGTATGTGTCGCGTCCGAACCTCTTTTTGCACAAATTCCTGAGCCGAACTCCCTGCAGCTTCCCCTCCATCCACGCGCGCTCGCACCTGACCTCGCCTTTTTTTCTGGAATAACTTCAAATTGATGGCCGTGAAGCAACCATCACGCTGGCCACGTCCAGACCTCGCCAACGAGTGCACCTCGAACGCTCCTGACTTCCATGTCTTGCCCAAGTCCATATGCGTGCCCTGCATGGTGAAGATGGCCACGTCCTCCTTCCTCGCCAACTCTAATAGCTCGTCCAAGTGACCCACCCTGCGCAGCGACTCCACGCTGAAACTCCACACCTTCAGCGTCCTCTGCTTCCACGCGGCCCGCTGCTCCAGCTGGTCACCATCCCTCCTGGCCTTCTCCAGTGCTCGATCGTCAGCTCGATGTGGCAGTTGGGTCGCCTCGTGAAGTGTCTCTGGAGTGACCAACTGCGCGGCTGTGGCTCGCGTGATCCTCTGTCCACGATACCATGCCGCTCCTGCCACCAGCGCGAGCCTCGCTGCTCGCCTCAGGGCACGCTTGCCGCGCATCGCCCGCACGCCCTCTTTCCAGCAGCGCTGAAGCAAAGCACGATGCCGCTGTCCTCGCGGGTCGGGTTCCCAGCGAAAGCTCACCTCGCAGTGTTCAGAGAAGCTCGCCCCCTCCGACGTGTCCTGCCCTCGACATGGCGCCGCCGAGGGGGGGGGAAAGCACTGGCCAGGACTTGCGACCTGGCACGACCGTCATTGCGACGCAACTGTCTTGAGCCGTCGAGGCTTGGACTTTTGCTTCCGCCAGCTTCCGCAGGCGGAGGCGGCCTCGTCTACTTCCGCTACCGTCCGCCGGCCTACCGCGGCCTTCCGCCGAGGAAGAGACGCCAACTCCTTCGATCATCGAAGGCGAGGCCCTTGCTGGAACGCCTCATATAGTACGGGTGCTTGGACGCCCATGCCGAGGCTCTTCGAGCGGGGCTGGCCATCGAAAGTGGTTGAAGGTGGACCGGAGATGGCCGAAGAGGCAAGGATGCAAGGGGAGAACCCTTGGGAAGTCGGTCATCCTTACGATCAGACATGACATGTCGCCGTGCCGTTTGTCCTCGACGCGCCCAAAATGGACGACGCCGACACCACAGCTGACTACCTACCAGACCACCCCAACCCAACCCGAAGACCCGAATTTCGTGTTGGGGGGGGTAAGTGTTCCACATGTGATTTTTCGATGTTTCCCGACCCCCCCCCCACTGGAAATCGAGGGTAAATTTGAGCCTTCGGGTTGGGTTGGGGTGGTTTGGTGGGTGGTGAACAGCAAACCCACGGCGAACCCGCCGCGCCCGAGGTGGAGTTTGCCCTGGTGGCCGAGGCGTCCTCCCCAAGACGCAGAGCCGCGCGTCGGAACAAACAGCGCGGCGACACATAGCGGCCTCACGCGGTGGCTTCCGCGGGCCGCCAGCGCGGCACGCCACGTTGGAAACGGGTGCGCTCACGCGCGACCTCACGCGGGCAACTTGCGCGCGAATGTCCGCGCGAGCGAACCCTTTGTTCTTCGTCGCTCACGTGGCACACGATGGGACTTCTATCGAAGGCTTCGAGTGGGGGATCAGCTACCTCAGAACTGCCTTCTCCGTCGAGCCTGCGAAAAACAAGTATATCGTTTCTCGCAGATCTACTGAGCAGTCGACCTGCCGTCGTAGACTCGACGAGCGAATCAATTCTGGGGACAACGACGCGATGTAGGCCACGCGTGCATATCCCGGAGGGCCGACCTCTACTTCCGCCAGCCCTCTCCGCCGGCGGAGGCGCCCCCACGCTCGCCATCGCTCGGACGTCCGTGCGAGGCGGGGATTCCGCATCCACCGCCTGGGAACCGACGTCCCGGGGCCCCAGCGGGCGGTGGATTGTGGATGTGTTCCGGCCCCCCGGGGGCCCGAAGATGTCCACATCCACCGCCCGCCGAGGATCCGAAGTCTGACCCTCCGGGCAGTGGCCATGCAGAGATTCCCGCCTCGGAGTCCGCTCCCCGTACCTTTTTCGGCTCCGTGCGCTCACTTGTTCGCAGGATGGTCCGAGAGGGTTCTCGGTGGTCCCCGCCGAGGGAGATGGGCACGTGTCCGAGCGATGGCAAGCCAGTCTGGCCTCCGCCGGCCTCCCACCAGCCCTCCCGCCAGCCCTCCCGCCGAGGAGGAGGAGGCAGCCGCTCGACCCCTCGGGGCGAGCCAGCGCCCGCTCTGCTCCGGCCCCGGCCCCAAGGCGTCCGCTGCCCTGATGGCGTGCCCAGCACGGAGCCTCCGAAGTCCTGGGCCTCGTTTCAGACGAAGCCAGGACAAGGACAAGATCGAGCCCGAACAAATCGGGGACCTCTGAGATCTGGGGGTTCTGGAAGATGTGTCGGGCGCCGCGGCCTTCTCCAAGCGAACTGGAATGCTATAAGAGCGTTCCGGGCCTGCCTGATCTACCCAAGGCCGGCTTGTCCTCCCAAGCCATTTGTTGTAGTCCATGGGCGCGGCGAGGGACCGGAGGTAAAAACGATACCAATACCGCTGCTTCCCAGGCCTCTCCAGGGGTGCGGTCTGACCACCACCATTTCGAGGAGAATCCAGAACGGCGGAGAGCCTCCGCCTTGCTTTTTGCAAAGGCGTCGTCTTGAGTAGCCTGGACTCTGGCCGCCCCCAAACTCCCTCACAGCGGCCAGCCAGGTGACCGCGGATGGGCCGCGGCCGCTGGGCTCCCCATGAGCGGCGGGCCGCGGGGGGAGCGCCAGGGGAGCTGGAAAAATTGGCCCGAAAACTTCGGTTCGTCGCCCTCCCCCTCCGCCACCTCCTCCTCCCCCTCCTCCTCCTCCTCCCCCTCCTCCTCCTCCTCCTCCTCCTCCTACTCCTCCTCCTCCTCCTCTTCCTCCTCCTCCTCACCCTCCTCCTCCCCCTTCTCCCTCCTCCTCCTCCTC